CTTCCGCTGAGGCTCAAAAATTGCTGGCGGAAGGCTGTTTACCCTCGTGAGGGCATGGCTCATTGGGGGCTTAGCACATTTGGCCATGCTAGAACACGATCAAAATTCAGAATTCAGAGTATGGCTCATATTGAATGCATATCACCTTTATGCCATGGTAAGCATGAAAAATCATAAGCCAAACCATGGTAAATAATAGAGTGAGAGGAAAACAGTACATTTTCTGAATATTTTAAGTAATTGTCTTTCATTTCCTTGCTTTCTCCATGGCAATGTCCTACATCCTGCAAGTCTCCAACTTTCACCTAGAGACCAATGGATCCCCAAATTGTTATATTAACCCCATCTTTCATTTGTATCAGTCGCCTCAAACTTAACACTTGAGACACCAAAAACTTTTCTAATTTCATGACCTTCCCCAGGTCTTTACCCTTTCCTTGTTTTTTTCTCCATTTTCAGGCAATCAATCATTGCTTCACTTGTTCAAGTTATCCTCATTTCCCACTTTTTTCTCTGCCTTCCATGTGCCGACCCACAGGATTCGAGAGGCACGGAAGAGGGGCTGGGGATGAAATGAGAGGCTGACACACTGCATGAGAAGCTGCAAAACGGGGGACCCTTATTTCCTCTAGCCCATGCCTTATATACACTGTGCTGCGCCTGCGCTTTGCCTGTGTCTCATGTTCAGGCTGCGTGCTTCTTTTTGGATGGTAGTTTCCCTGCATGCCTGGCTCGTGCACATAGCGTGCTGCGCACATGCGTTCCTCCCACTGGCTGCTTTGTCCCATTGGCTGCTTGCTTAATGATATGTATTCTTACTGCGCCACGGCCCCGGACACTTTTCCTATCAATTTCTATATGCTATAATTTCTTCTGTCCAGTGTATTCATACTTCCCAATATAATACTAACATTTTTTGAGCAATTGTGCCAGATACTATTCTAACCAGTTTGAAAGTATTATTTCACTTAGTCCTAACAAGTCTAAGGAGCAAGTATAATTATAACGTCTATTTTACAGAAGGGAAATTGAGGTATAAAGATGCCATATATTGTCATACAATAGAGTAGTACCGGAACAAAAATTCAGACCCAGACCGACCAATAAAGCAATAAATGCAAATTTACTTTATTTTGCCACCAGAAATTCCAGTATGCAAAATTACATAAGCGTCTCACACATGTTAGGAATGGCAAGGACAGAAAATGAAGTTCAAAGTCTTTCTCATGCAAATTATGTCATTTGTCTAATGTCTGGTCTTATCTACTATCAAGTCACTGCTTCCTCCCCCTACACTCTGCTCCAGCTCTAATGGCTTTCTGGCTCACTTTCCGTTTTTGTGCTCTATCTAAATGCCCTACTTCCTTTACCTAAGATAGCCTTTCTTATGCTGTCTTTCTGGAAAGCTTGTCCTTTTTTTCAGGGCTTGGCTCTAAGATCATCTCCTGTGTCACTCCTACCCTTTGCCTGAGATAGATAAACTGCCATTCTCTACTACATTGTGTTAATAGAGTCACCTAATGCACATGCTGTCACCATGTGTGTCACATTCTAATAGCTCATTCTGTTCCCTTCATAGACTCTCCGCTTCTTAAAATGAGGGTTATTGCTCTGGTGATTTTTATATACCAATTTTACACATACAGAATAACCCCTCATGGGCGCCCTATAAATATTGAAATGAACGAAGAAACACTATTTCTAAACATTTCCATTAATCAGGTCACAAATGTGGTGTTGATTTGGCTGAATTACCTGGGTATTAATTCTCTTTTACTTTATTTTATTTTATGATATGGAGAGAATACCAGAATGCGAGAAAGCTTCCTCTCAGCTCATTGTTTCTTTCCTTCTAACAACATGGAAATTCCTATTATAAAAGCTGTCAGAAAAGGGCCAGAGATGCTTTAATGGAATCTCAGGGTGAAGGAAAGGAGTTTTTGTGTGCCAGCAACTTAATATTTTCCTGTTTCAACTGTCCTGCCAGGGATTGTAATTCAGGAACCGATCTCAAGCTGAGCAGGAGAAAAAATCAGATGCTTAATGAAAATGGCCAAATGTCATCACTAGCTATTTTGCCAGAGGAGCTGTGTCAGGAGCATCCATATGTAAAATGGACTTTCGCCAAATTCCAGCCATCTGCGAGGTCATGAAGACTCACAACACTTATGTCTCCTGAGGGAATCTTTTCAGTTTTGTGTTTTTTCTTATGCTAAGAAATACACACACATGTGATTTACTACTGGTTCTTCATAGGAAAGGTTCTTCATAGGAAAGTCAACTATGTCCTAGAAAACTCAAAGATGGAGATGAGAAACTCTGAAAATAAAAATGTTCTATGTTTAAAAACATATATTAGAAAGCTCGAGAAGTAGGAAAAAACAGTAACTCTGATTGTAAATTGTTATTAGGTTAAAAATACACACACACGTGAAACCCAATGTACTTTTGTTTCCAGTATATATTTGAAATTTCTAAACTGTATTAATTCTCTCTTTTTTGCCACGGGAATTATAGCATAGTGACTGTGTAAGAGAACATCATGCTAAATAGATATTATTAATTTCATTGAGTTTTCTGTGAAGATTTAGTGTTTTGATGATATTATAGAGAAGAAATAGAAGACAGAAGAAGGATTTAAGAAAGGCAAATTAGAAATGCTAGCATCTTTGATCAATAAATTGGTTGAACTATAGAAGGAAAGATTCTTTTGAGTTGTAGAAGTTTAAAACCTATTTGTTTTAACATTTTCAGAAACTGCAAACTGTTAGCTGATACATGTTACTCACCCCGATAAACCAGGTTACTTGAAATGCCCTTCCCCACAGAAATGCCAGTCAAATTTTAATGAAGTGAACAAGATTTTGGGTAAAAGACCGGTTCAAACACCAGCAGAAGAAAGTTACATCTACCGTGTAAAATAATCAGTATTTTTTTTTGATTGATTATGATTGGGTAACAAAAATACATAAGAAAACAAGAAGCACAAAAGAAAAAGACCAAAATAATAAAACAGAAAAATCACCTCTGCAGGAAACTCATTAACAACATTTACATAGTACTTACTTGGTATCAGGCATTGTTTGAAGGACTTTAGACATATTAATTTTGTATTCCTCACAACCACCTTGCCAAATATGTACCATTCCTTTCCTTATTTTACAGATAAGGAAACTGAGGCACAAAGAGATGCAGTAAGTTACCCAACAGTTACATTGTAGAGCTATGATTCCAACAGGAGCAGTCTAACCTCCGCTTCCCGCTTAATTTACCTGCCAGTTTCATTTGATATTCTCACGTGATGTAAGAAAATGATGCATTCATGAAATAAGCATAGAATGCAATGAAAAGGGAAAATGCAAATGCAAGGAAGAGCTTTTAAAGATGATAAATGTAAAAGCAAAAATAGAATAAACACGTATCATAATTAGATAAAGAGAAACACTAAAATTAGAAGAGCTTGAAAACAAACATACATACAGGCTCATGTTTACCTGCCTGGGGCATGGCTGATGGTGGACTCAACATCCCAGGCTTCACCTTCCTGGCGAAAGGGCTGGGACATGAAGTACCTAAGTTTCATGTCCACTAGCAACACGTCATTTACTAAGCACCTTCCCATGTTGGGATAGTGAGGACTACAAATAAGTGCAAGGAGCTCGCAGGGATCTATGTGAGAGAGTAACTAAGCTGGCTACCTCTGGGTCCTAGGAGGTGTCCTAGACTCTCCTAATACAAAAAATGATGTAAACTAACATTTACCTAATAAAAAATCAATTAATCAAAAACAAAAACTCGGTGCCTCAAGCCCTGATGCCCTAATACACACACACAGAGAAGTCAACTGTCTGGTTCACGTAGGTCCAACTCACTTCCTCCCCTCACCTAAGGGAAGGGAAAAACTATCCACAGGAGGAATCAATATACGGAAGTAACTCCTCCTGTATTGGTCAAGATTCTTAAAAGCAGACAAAAAAAAAAAAAATCCAGCTGGTATAAGCAGGAAGATATTTGTTAGAACATATAGATTGCAAAAAGAATTTTGGGAAAATCAGGAAGTGCAGTCTCAGAAATGTATACAGGAATATCTTCCAGCTCCTCATCAACCAGAGGACTAGCCCAAGAAAGAATACGGTTCACCCCAAAATCATAAGGAAGTCTCTTGGCCAGTGAGAAAGTTGCCCCCATACCAGCAAGCAGATAACCACCCTACCTCGAGCCAGCTGAGAAAGCAGTTGGTGCTATCACCAGCCTCTTATCCCAGGCCATCATGTGCTGCTAGCCTGCCTGCCCCCGGTTACTTACTTGTGGAGACAGAACTGCTGTGGGTCTGCCAGATGGCAGAACAGATTCCATGACTTCTCCTTATTGGCAAAAGGCCTGGGACATGCAGTACTTTAGGTTCTCTGTTGGAAGGTGGAATTCCCCCTGTAGGGTAACCATCAAAATGCAGAAAAGCTCAAATTCATAGACACAGAAAGTAGAAGATAAGTTACTTGGGGCTAAGGAATAGGGACTGGGGAATGGGAAGTAACTGCTAATGGTTACAGAGTTTCAATTTAGGAAATAGTGTGGTGGTGTTTACAAAATGACAATGTGAATGTATTTACTGCCAATGAATTGTTCACTTGAAAATGGTCCAAATGTTAAATTTCACATTGTGCATTGTTCACCACAATTAAAATGAAGATATTCCAAACAGTTGCTTAAAGATCTAAAGACAGCTATGAGCAAAAATATTCACTACACTTCTAATCTATTTACCTAATTGTCAAAGTGAATGTATAGACAGTTGAGAAAAATTGTAAAATATTTTTTTAAACATTGTACACACATAGAACACATCCTAATATGAAAAGATCACCACAGAAAGAAATCGCATAACTTCCTTTGTAACCCTTGCAATATTTAGCAACCTACATTATTAAGAAATTCTTCTTTATATATAACTTGCTACATTTAAAATATTTCTCTGTTTCCTTCTTCCATGGACTTGGAGAGTAATTGATGAGCAACTTGCATGCTTCACCCTTTAAGGTAAAATAATTCCAGTTGCTTTAACCCTTCCTGGAAGACTGTATGCTCTCTCCCTGATCATCCCACCCCAGCTAATGCTCTCTCCCTAACCTCCCCCCCCCCCCCGTTTTTGCAATATTCTCTTCTGAATGCCTTTCCATCTTCTCTGTATTTCTGTTTCACCCTTGGGGCCCATCTGGGGACTGAGTTGTGTGAAAAATTTGATTCAATCCTTTTTCAAAATGATCAACACCGATTCCTAATTTGTAAACAACACTGTTGAAAGTCCTTGAGTTTATTCTGAGTCATAGTGCGTAAACTACATCCTCAGAATACTGATCACGGAAGGGAAATTACTCTGCCGCCTCCAGGACTTGGGAGCACTATTAAAGGACAACATGGACCAGGAGGCAGCAGGAAAGAGCCAACTGTGGGTGTAGTACAAAGACAATGAGGTGTGTTGATCCATTCTGGGAAAGGAAGGGGGAGCAGCACAGGAGCATAGGGGGAGCAAAGCTACACCCCTGTCTTGGGAGTGTACCCTGGGAGGAAAGTTCTGTGTGTGGTGAGGCAACTGGGTCACATCCCTAGGGTGGTGGCATCTGCACACAACAGATGGGAGCTGGAGGAGGTGGGATGAATGAGCTGTTTGAATGGAAAACACTAGTTCTGAGGATGACTTTGTGTCCTGGCTGCCAGGGAGAGGGTTCTGCTGCTCTGATGGGGTGAGAGACCCGATCCTGATGTTGGCGGTATGGAGTGACTCCAATTAATCAAGGCAAGACCACGGTGGAATCAAATACCAGTAGTACACTAGGTAGCAGTACATTATGCCCTAGAAAGCTCTTCTCTGTCCCTGATCTAATTACATTGCACATTACCCTGTGCTATTGGCAGACCATGTGTGTTATCACCACTCCACTGGAAAAAGATGAACATAGGAGTATTCAACAGGAAAAGAGCTAGGATAAGGCGCCTGCCTCCCTGACTTGACTGGTGCTCTTTGCTCTCCTCTGTCTTTCCTGTAAGAGCTGTCAGGGCAGGGTTCAGTGAGCCCTTTGTTGATATTCTTTGTAAGAACAGAGTAATACTAAGTTAGCTAAAGACTCCCATCACGTGAACCCAAGCCACGCACAAACCATGCTCCATAACACTGAAAATATGTTATAGTTAATATGAGATAGTGAGGAAGAGGACGTTGTTTCCACTGGCATGTAGACCTCCCAAACAACTGATTAACTTCAAAAAATATTGTATGTGTACTTAGGTTTAGAATTGGATGAATGTCTCTTTGAACACTGTTATTCTGTTGGGTAAATAAACACTAAACAGAAAGAAGACAATTTCTTTAAATATTTGTGTTCTTTAATAATATAAAAGAACATAGTCAAAGAATTATTAGTTATTTTTTATTCACAAACCCCAAACCAAACATTATCCCAAACCGAGTAAGCTGTATACATTGAATTGTTCATGAGTCAAATAAGAAATGAATACTGTATTGAAACCAAAGCATACTTAGCTTTTTCCCCAGTAAGAAAGGGCTCCTTCTTCCCACCCCCACAGTTTCCACACAGATTACAGAATAGTCTATTTTATTTTAACAAAGCTTTTGGCAAAATGTTAACCAATTACAAATGTGGCCTCTGAGCCCAAGGCACCAAAGAAACTAATACTGTTCTTTTGAGAAATACACAGTTTGTCCAATAGATTGAAAAAAAATTGAAAACTGTAGTGTCTCAAGCAGTAAATTTGTAAACTTAAGTATCTCAATTATAGAAATTTCTCATAAGGGGCATTGCTGATGTGGCAGGGGTTAAAGTCTCAGCACTATAAAGCTGTCATCAGCCACTGTGGCCTGAGTTCGATCCCAGGCCGGGGAGATAACCCACATGGCACAGCAGACCTCTCCTGTCTCGCTGGCTGATCCCCTCAGCAGTGTGTTTTAGTAGATCCGCCTGTTCTGCTCCCCACTCTGTGTCTGCTGAGCCCTCTCACCCCCAGCATGTTAGGTTACTAACATTCACCTTCAAAGCCAGGAAAATTGTTTTTCTATGCATAAATAAATAAAAATAAACCTTTAAAAAATAATTTTAAAAAAGAAATTTCTCATAAGTCAGCTGCCATCAAGTCACACTGCACATTGCCAGTTTTTATTTTTATCATTTTTTTGGTCCTTGATATAAATTAATGAATAGTTTGGTGTGGTCAGTAGTTTATTCATTCACTAGTTTTATAGGAACATGGGAATTTATAGTCTATACACTTCAACCAGTGTACCTGAAACTGCCAGGATGGAGCAGGGCAGATATATCTGGTCCCTCCTCCCTGGGGCAGATATAGAGAGAGCTAGAGCCAAATCTGCATGACCATTCAGAAAGAGCAGAAGTTATTTATATACCTGGATCTGACCAAGGGTGTCCAGCTGTGAGCAATGAGATAGAAAACTCATGCTATATCTATGAGGTTTGCTGTGGAAAAGTACAGATACTGTATTTTTTATTTGACTATGTTATGTTAACATAACTAAGAAGACAGCTTCCCTTAATAATATAATTCATTCCATATAAATTTTCTTTATATATACTGATAACTGAAGACTGAAAACTTCAATCATGCAATGATGATATCTATGACAGTTTGTTGGCTAACATTCCCAAATAATTCATATATGTCATATATGACAAATAATCAGAATATCTGCCCAGTGTGTCAGCAATTTTAATCTGTCTATGCAATGTATCAAGTTATTCATTTATCTTAGTTTATGCAAATAAGGCCAGGCAACATATGCAGTCTGTCTAAAAGTTGTGCATTTTAATCACAGACAAACTGGGGCTTGGCCACCTTGGAGCAGATCACAAGAGAGAGGTGTCCATTGGTGATTCATCCCAGGTCAATTATCTGCCAATGAAAAACAAGCTTTGGGATCTACTAATATAAATTCTGTGCACTAATTCCATCTGTAACCTTCTAATCTAGTTGTACAGTTTCTTAAATAATAGTCTACTTCACATAGCCAGTGTCTCACAACAAAATTTTTGGAGCACCAAGAAACCAGTCTGTGTGCAGAGCTTCCACCAACAGTCATATTTACTGACTGCATCACAGCTCTGCCCTGAACTGGAATGGGCACCCATTTTTGGACTAGATTGTGGTCACAGAGTAACCCCATCTCCTGTGACCATGAATCCACAAGCCTTTTATTAACTATACAGAGTAGAGAGAGCAGCTTACATTAGAGCCAAAGTAACATGTGGTAAAAATTCCCTCAGGGTATTAAACCCAACACGCTGTCCCCTTCTTATGAGAGAAAAAGTTAAGAGTAAATCTGAGCTCTGCTTCAGTCCCCCCAAATATCCAATCCCTCAGGGTTTTATCTGAAAGGACTCTAAGGATTTATAAAATATCACAAAATTTTCACACTTTGAATGAAGAAATTGATAAACCAATAAGTATGAAGTAATTAATACAGGTCAGTATTAGTTTCCTATGGCTACAAATAACTACGACAGGCTTAAAACACACGTTTGTTATCTTAGAGTCCTGTAGTCAGAAGTCTAAATTGAGTTGGCCAGGCTGCATTTCTTCTTGAGGGGCTACAAGAGAATCTATTTCCTTGCCTTTTTCCAGTGAGGTTACTAACTTTCACCTTCAAAGCCAGGAGAACAGTATTATCAACCATCTTTCTTCTCCGCCCCCTGCATCTGTAGTCTTATCCCCTTTGCTGAGTCTGACCCTTCTGCTTCCCTTTCACAAGGACTTTTATGATCTCATTCAACTCATCTGGATAATCCAGGATAATTTTCCCATCTCCAATATTCTTAACTTAGTCACAAATGAAAAGTTTCCTTATATGTAAGGTAATATACTCACAGATTTGGGGAATTAGGACTTGATATTGGGAAGTGGAGGACATATTCTGCCTACCACAAATAACAACCAAAAAGTGTGAAAATCATCAATGACAAAGAATGTAACAAATACATATGTTAATTTCTTTTAGAAATTATATAATAATTACATACTAGGTACAAAATACTATGATTGATAAGCATGGAAAAGTAAATCATAAGCTGGAAATGCTCTTCAACAAAGGTATATTTTAAATGTAAATCACAAGTCAAAAAAGACTTTGAGATACAATAAAAATAAAAATATGATGAAACTTGACATAAGAGAAAAAATGTTTATTCTGCTAATATTTTTTCGATTATTTTATATGTTAAAAATAGATCTACCATATGATCCAGCAACCCCAAAAACACTAATTTGAAGGGATATAAGTAAGCACTCCTGTGTTCATTGCAGCACTGTTTACAATAGCCAAGTTATAGAAATAACCTAAGTGCCCAAAACCAGATGAATGGATAAAGAAGATGTAGTACATATACACAATGGAATACTAGTCATCTATAAGATATTTGCACTCTTGCCACTTGGACAACATGGGTAGACCTGGAGGGGATAATGTTAAGCAAAATAAGTGGAAGAATAAAGATAAATATCAGAATGGAATATGGGGAAACAAAAAAAAAAAAAGGATCAGAGAGACTCAATAACAACCCTAGAAATCTAATTATAGAATTGAGGTTATGAGACCTAAGAGGGGGAGAATGAGAGCTGAGTGTGGAGGGGGCATAATGGACTATGGTGGAGGATGATGGTTACCTTGGTGGGGGGAGTTAGTAACATACATTTGAAGAGGTATGTTCCTGTTCCTCTGACTATATAGTGCTGCAATCCTATGTTACCTCAATCATAAAATGGAATCATACCAAAAAATAAAAATTCTTTATGAATGAAATGATTTTATAAATCAAAAAAATGAGATGAATAACCCAATATAGAACATGGGCAAAATGAGCAATGTACATAATAAAACATATAATTGTGTATGTAATAAATGATACTCTTACTCTCAGACTGGCAAGATTAAGAAAACTAAAAATAGCAAAAGATAATGTCACCAAGTGAATGACAGAAAAAGTTCACTGCTTTGCTCCCAAGAGGAACACCTG